AAAACTCTAAAGAGGAGCAATAGGCATAGCTCAAGTGACACAGCAAAAGCCTAGAAAGTTCAAGGCCCTGTGTTCAAACCTTAGTACTACTACCAAAAGAAAATTTTTTTCTAGCTAGGCACTGATGGCTCACATCTATAGTACTAGATACACAGGTATATGAGGATCATAGTTCAAAGCTAGCCCAGGCAAGAAAGTCCATGAGTTTTTTTTTTTTTGTTTTTTTGTTTTTGGTGGTTCTGGTACTTGAACTCAGGGTCTAGGTGCTGTACCTGATGTGCACAAGATTAGCACTCTACTAATTGAGCCATGGCGCCACTTCAGGCTTTTTCTGAGTAGTCTTTTGGAGATAAGAGTCTCACAGACTTTCCTGACTGGGCTGGCTTCCAACAGTGATCTATAGATCTCAGCATCCTGGGTAGCAAGGATTATAGGCTTGAGCCACCAGCACCCGGCTTTCTATGAGACTCTCATCTCCAATTAATCACAGAAAATGCTAGAAATGGTGCTGTAGTTCAAGTGATAGAGTGCTCACCTTAAACAACAGGGAGCTCAGGGAGAGTGTTCAAGCCCAAAGTTCAAGCCCCAGGACTATTTCAAAAAAAAAGGAAAGAAAGAAAACCTTTTATAAAACCTAAACTTTAATTTATACTACTTGTATATTGCTTGGATAATCAAATTGGGGGGGGGGGTGTGGAGTTGGTCTTAGGGCTTGAACTCAAGGAACTAGGCTCTGTCCCTGAGCTCTTTTGCTCAAGATGAGCCCTCTACAACTTTGAGCCATAGCTCAACTTCCGGTTTTCTAATGGCTAACTGGAGATAAGAGTTTCATGAACTTTCCTGCCCAAACTGGTTTTAAACAGGTATAAGCCACCAGCACCCAGCCAAAATAATAGAAACTTTAAGATAAAACAATTAAAAATAAGCCAGGCACTGGAGGCTCATACCTATAATCCTAGCTACTCAATAAGCTAAGATCTGAGGATCATGTTTCAAAGCCAAGCCAGAGAGGAAACTCTGTGAGACTCTTATCCTCAAGTATCCACCTAAAAATCTAAAAGCTCAAGAACCAGAAAAAGTGCTCAAGCCCTGAGTTCAAGACCCATGACTGACAATAAATAAATAAACAAATAAATAATAATGCAGGCAACCAGTGATTCATGCCTGTAATCCTACCTACTCAGAAGGCTGAGATCTGAAGATCACAGTTCAAAGCCAGACCAAGGAAGAAAAGTCTGTGAGACTATTATCTCCAATAAAGCCCCAAAATAGCCAAAGCTGGAGCTGTCGTTCAAGTTGTAGAGTACCAGATATGAGAGAAAAAGCTAAGGAAGTGAGAGTGTGAGGATCGGAGTTCAAGCACCAGTACTGGAAATAAATAAATGTATTTCCCTAAAGCCATCATGATTTATTACCATATTGAAAAGTGCTATATGTATCTTTCTAATTTATTTGTCATCAAAGAGTCAGACTTTAAGGTTGGGAAGGTGGCTCAGTGGTAGAGTGCTTGCCTCACATGCATGAGGTCTTGGGTTCGATTTCTCAGCACCACATAAGCAGAAAAAGCCAGAAGTGGTGCTGTGGCTCAAGTAGTAGAGTGCTAGCCTTGACCTGAAGAGCTCAGGGACAGTGCCCAGGCCCAGAGTTCAGGCCCCATGACCAACTTAAAACAAAAAAAATTCAGACTTTAATAAAAGTTAGTAAGAACTTTCTTAAATGACACTGACATTTTATTTCTGGTACACAGCAAAGAACATCATGTTTTTGCAAAGTCAGCACAAATGTCAACCATGCTGGCTTGTCTTTTGAAATATCTTACTAACTGTTCATCTGGCCTGAACTCAAAATTGGTCATCCTCATCTCTGCCTTCAGAAAAATTGGGATTATAGATGTGTACCATCACAGAGACCCATTTTGTTTTATCAACAACACTTAAATAACTGCAATTACATAAAATAAAAAAATAAAATATCAGGGCCTGGGAATGTGGCTTAGCCGTAGAATGCTTGCCTTACATGCATGAAGCCCTGGGTTCAATTCCTCAGCACCACATAAACAGAAAAAACTGGAAGTGGCACTATGGCTCAAGTGGTAGAGTGCTAGCCTTGAGCAAAAGAAGCTCAGGGACAGTGCCCAGGACTAGCAAAAGTCCCAGGACTAGCAAAAAAATAAAAATAAGGTTAAATAAAATATCCGTTATCTTATTTAGTGAAAATAAACACAAAACACTAGATTCTGAAAGTTATTCAAAGGTGCCGTACATACAATTCTGAAAGCAGATTCTTGAAATGTATGCAGAATACATATAACACATACAAAATTTACCTTAAAAAAGTGAGATCAAATACAGGAAATTATTTTTTTAATTAGCCTTACTTATTACTGTAAGTATAAATCAAGAAACTGAGGCAAGACTCAAGTAAAATGTTAATGTGGCAACACACATCAAATTTTAAAGAGAAACAGGATAGAAGAGTATTGACATGCAATGAAAAACAAAATCAATGAAACAAATTCACATTCCTTTCAAATATAACATTAACACACAGTTGAATATTCTTTTTTTTTGGGGGGGGTTGGCCATGGGGCCTGAACTCTGAGGGCGCTGTCCCTCAGCTTTCCAGCTCAAGGCTAGCACTCTACCATTTTAGCTACAGCACCACTTCTGGCTTTTTCTCCTTATGTGGTGATGAGGAATCAAATCCAGGGCCTCATGCATGTGAGGCAAGCACTCTACCACTGAGCCACCTTCCCTGCCCGACGGTTGAATATTCTTATCCAAAATATTGAGTCTAGAAGTAATTCAAATCTTGGAATGATTTTCTTTTTGTGCTCTTTGTATATTTACATAGACTCTACTGATTGAAAATCTTTTATCTAGAAGTCTAAAATGCAGAAAAATCTGAAACTTTTCCAGTACATGATGAATTTTGGAGCATTTCATATTTTAGATTATAAGACTCAGATATTCAACCTCTACTGGCTTTATTGATGCCAGAGGAAAACTAATGTTTAATGATTCACATATGTTAAGGTTAGGTCCTAAAGAATTCCTGACTTCTAAATCAAAGTTAGTTACTGCAAGTAAGTCAAAAAGTAACTGAAACTCAATCTGTAATATTTAGAAATCTCTTTAGTAAAAGAAGTTACTACTACCTGAAAGGACATCTGATAAATCAATTTCATCTGACTGGACACCAATGTTGCTATTGTATATATTTTTGCAAGAAGAGCCACTCATCTCCAAATCAAAAAGGACTGGATCAAACGGTGAACTATATAATCCATATCTAAAAAATAAACGTGTTTCCTGTCAGACAAGTAATTAAGAAATTCCCTGTATAATAGTTTTAAAAGCAAATTAGTTAACAGGACAGAAGGAAATAGTAAATAAATTTAACCAATGCATCAAACTCAGCAAACCCTAGCTCTGTTCTCTGAAATCTAGACTCCAAAAGACTCAGTAACTGCATTTCCAAAAACTGGCAGCTAAGTAGCAAGAGTCTCACCTGGAGCTCAAACATGAAGGTGTATCAGACACTCTTCTCTTTCCCTCAATTACTTCAATGACAAGAGAGAGCACAAACTTTGAAAGAAAAACTCATCAAAAATCAATATTTTTGAACTACAATAATTAGAAAACTCTCTGCTGAAGATCAGCCAAGAACTCAAATTCAAACTTTTGTTATTTCTATGTTAAAGTTCTGAAAATCACCACCAATGAAGGAAAACTGGTTGTAAAAAGTTGTAAAAATGAAACAATCAGACATTAAATGCATCTTCTATTAGAAAGACATTTATTTCATTAAATTACCTCATAAATAACCTATGTAAAATTTATCAAACAAAGGGAATAAAAGAGAAAATAGGAGGGGGGGAGACCCATAGGCTATTATCATTTGGAAAAGGTAAAGCATAAACCTATTTTTGTAAGAAAAAATATATTTCAAGTGTAAATTATTAAGTTACAGTTCTTTACAAAAGCTACCATACTCAAAAAGACCCCCAGTTTAATAATACCTTGTTTGAAGTAAAGCCTCCATTGGTGTTAGCCTGTCTTGTAACTGTCTGGACACAGCAGTAAGCAAAGATGCACAAGATGTGCTGCACCCAGCCAAATCTTCATCTTTAACATAATTCAGAAGGACAAAATACCAGTAGACAGAACCTGAAAATAACAATACATCATCATTTTTCTCTAACAAAGAAAACTTCACATTACATATACATTGGTATAACATCTTTTGCTACAAAAGATACTTCCTTATTCTGGGAAAGGAATTTCTAAGAGCAACTTACAAAGAAAAGACTCCACTTACAAAAAAAAAGTCTCTTGGGGCTGGGAAGGTGGCTCAGTGGTAGAGCGCTTGCGTTGCATGCATGAGGCCCTGGGTTCAATTCCTCAGCACCACATAAGAAAAAAGAAAAAAGCCAGAAGTGCCGCTGTGGCTCAAGTGGTATAGCGCTAGCCTTGAGCTCAAGAGCTGAGGGACAGCGCCAGGCCCAGAGTTCAGGCCCCATGACTGGACCCCCCAAAAAAAGTCTCTTTCGAGCAAGTCTTACTAAACAACATCCTGAGTAATGAATTCCAAACTTTTCTTTTTGGTCCAAGACTGGGACTTGAACTCAATAACTAATGCTTTTGCTAACCGGCACTCTACGAACTGAGCAACAGCTCCAACATCTCAAACCTACTTTTCCAAGATATTCTTATCAACCTACATACTAAGGATTACAATAGTCCTTAGGAGGTGATTCTAAGGGGCATGTTAGACCAGAAAAGCAGAAACTGTAAATTCTCTGAACCATCTCTCTTGAAATACTATTTCTCTGTACTAAAACCCTAAACCCTAGATGACAGAGAGTGTCACACAGCATACTCTGGAAGTGAATCCAGTACATTTATTTTCTAATGTCACACACAGATTGGCAAAGCTTAAAAGATGACTATGATGTACTATCTATAAGATTCTTCCCTAAATCTTGAATAACTAACTACCAAGTACACACTAGAATTTAAGCAACCTACAAGTAAAACTGTCTTCAATAATGAAACTTAAGGGACTTCTTTTTTTAGCTATTAAGCAGTTGTACAAAGAGTTTACACTTCACTCTTATTCACTATTATAGTAAACAGATGAGTACAAAATATTCTATTGGCTGGGAGCTGGTGGCTCACACCCGTAATCCTAGCTACTCAGGAGGCTGATATCTGAGGATTGCGGTTCAAAGCCAGCCTGGGCGGAAAGTCTATGAGTCTCTTATCTCCAATTAACCACCAGAAAATCAGAAATGGACCTGTAGCTCAAAGTGGTAGAGTGCTAGCCTTGAGCAAAAAGGCTCAACAATAGCACTCAGGCCCAAAGTTCAAGCCCAATAATCAACCAAAGAAAAATAATGTTTTTTTGTTTGTTTGCTTTTTTTACTGGAAGTAACACCAGTTTAAGGCAATTTACATTTAAGATAAATATAAACTATAAGTAGTTCTTTAATTACAAAGATAAAAGAACTATTTATCAACTATTTTCATTTTAATAGGGAGCATCTGATCTTTAGTAGATAACCAAAATTCAATGATTCAAAGTCCAGAAAAATGTATCTGGAGATGGCTTTATATCTACTCTCCCTCTAATCTTTGCTAAAATAATATTAAGGAGTGAGTATATGCCAAGGGGGAAGAGGGAAACACAGGTTATCAACTCTGAAAAAAATAAACTACAGTTAAAAAAAAAAAAAAAACAGTTTCTGCATAGTTAAAGACATAGCTACCAAACTAGAAAGACAGCCAACTAATTTGGAAAAAAATATTTAACAGCAAAATATCAGACAAGGGTCAAATATCCATTATATACAGGAAACTCAAGAAACTAATCCCTCCCAAATCTAACAAACCAATCATTAATTGGGCAAGGGAGTAAAAAGAGAGACTTCTCAGAAGAAGAGATAAAAATGGCAAAGAAATACCTGAGGAAATGTTCATCATCCCTGGCCATAAAGGAAATGCAAATAAAACCAACCCTGAGATACCACCTTACCCCAGTCAGAATGGCCCATATCCTATACTCAGCCAACGACAAATGCTGGTAGGGATGAGGAGAAAGAGGAACCCTATTGCACTGCTGGTGGGAATGTACATTAATACAACCACTTTGGAAAGCAGTCTGGATGTATCTCAGAAAGCTAATACAGAACTTCCCTATGACCCAGCCATACTACTCCTAGGCATCTACCCTGAGCAACAGGAACCAGGATATAAGGACACATGCACCTCCATGTTCATTGCTGTGGTACCTATATACAATAGAGTATTAGGCAGCCATTAGAAAGGACAAAATAATGGCATTTGCAGGGAAATGGATGGGAACTAGAACAAATCATTTTGAGCAAGGTGAGGCAAGAGCAAAGAGACACATAGTATCCCTAATATGTGGATGTTAAATTCAAAATGCAAGGAGATATGAAAAGTAAACAGGACCCAAGAAACAAAGGACCTCCACCCATTTTTTCATGTCATTACTAAATGACCCCATATTCATGACCACATATATGGTGTATATATATGTGCACATCTGAGGGAAGCTAGGAGGAGGATATAGAATCAGGGGGAAACAGGGGGAATCATACAACAAAGGGGCCCATCAGCTGTACTGAACATTGATGAAAAAGAACTAAGCAACTCAAGGGCAGCAATGGGAGAGAGGGAATGAGAGGGAAAGAGGAAACAGCTTACACTAAGCAAAAGGAAAGAAATAGCTGTATTGTCAAAGCTCACAGAATTCACAAACTTTATAGACCATGATAATGCAATTTGCCTGATGAAGGTTAGAATGTGTTTGTGGCTTTAACTAAGTATCACTATCACTAATGTGAAATTTGTGAAATTTATGCAGTCACTTAATCACAATAAAAAAATATTTTACAAAAAGGTAGAGAGCAAATAGGAAAAAATTCAAGCAAACCCCTGAGTATAACTATTTGTGATTAAGTAATTTTACATACCACCAGTTGCGGCTGCTGGTAAAAATGACATATTATCAAGAAGAGCCTTCAACAGAACAGATCCAAATCCCGGTTGACATGGGTCACATTTGCCATTACTGAAAATGTTGAAGAAGAGAAAAGAAAAACTTTATAAAGACATTACTCATGGGTTAAATTCAACCCTAAACCTGATGTAGTTATTAAGTCAAAATGTATTCATATGTTCCAAGAGAAATATGCCTTATGGTCCTACAAACATAATGAATGGCCAGATACTAGGGGCTGAATACACAAAGGGTCTTTGTATTAGCTTTTTAGGTATTAAACCTCCTACTTAACTTAGAAAGGGCTAAAAGCAGGTGCAGTTAATACTGACCATTAGCTGTTAAACACAACTTGGACACTGAATTTCAGAGATTACAGAAAATTAGGTGCACAATATTAGAAAAAGTCCCATAATAATGTTATGTAATAATATGATTCCAAGTAAAGACAATCAAGGAGTAGAAATGAGAGAAAAGTTCCCTTTATCAAATTCACCAGACTACTACTAAAAGGCAAAGAAAACTAGCAAACTTTTTTTATTAATAGATTTATTTAATATAGTATTTTACCCTAAGAATCCAACTTTTTTTCTTAGGCTCTCAATAACATTAATCAACTACTGAAATGCTAAGTTACATACACAAACTATACAAGCAATGTATTAGGCACCAAATTGCAGGTACACATTTTACAAATTAAAAAACACCAACCTAATGCAAAAGGCTAGAAATCGAGCGCATTTATGGGCTATACTTCGTCCTGCCTCAAAGAAACAAACACGTACAATGTCTGAAAGACACTTTCGTGTTTTTGAAAGTAGGCTCTCATTTCCTTCTTTTGAACTGCAAAACAAAAACAGACACATTTTTCACTCTGAATCATAACATACAAAGGACAATTATCAGTGATAAGCAAAATTACAATCTTAACCTTCCAGGTCCATTTGAATGTACTCCAGCTAACCAACACAGAGTATCCAACACAAGACTTTGGGCATGTTCTGTGGTTTGGCCATCATCTGCTTTTTTGCATAGAGTGTTGAGGAGCTTTTCATGAAATTCTGAAAACTGTAACATAGCACAACGTTGAACTCTATAAAAGAAAAAAAAAAATCAACGTGAACAAATTACCAATGAAAAGGCCACCAATTAGACTCAATCTTTGAAAGTCTGGTTGATCATATGAAGTTTCTATTTTATCCCCAGTTGTACTAGGTTTGAACCCAGTTCAGAGGTTGAGCTTCCTAAGCAGACATTTTATCTCCTGAGCAAAAATCCCCACACTTTTGCCCAAACGAATACTAGGTAAATGAAATAAGATTACCTTTCCTTAGAAATTGAAGTTTTCTTAAATCTTCGAATGGTGACTGAGACCTCCTGAAGTAAGTCACAGCCCCGAAGATTTTCAGATTTACGTGTTCCACCTGCATTTTCATTCTTTACATTGGATGATTTTTCCTAAAAATACGAAAGCAAAGAATTGAAACAAACAAAACAAAAAAAAATTGTAAGGATATAAAACAGAAAATAACTGAATCATCACAATGAGAACATTACTTTCAGATTTAAAAAATAGCTTTTACCCTCGCCTTCAATAAACAACTATTTTTTCACAAAATGATAACAAGGAAAGTAAACACAAAGTTACTATTTTAAAGGTTTAATGATTAAAGACTTTAAAACCAAAATCTTGAAAAATATGATAACAGCACCTGCTCTGCCTACCTCAGAGATATTTTGAGGATTAAATCAGATAAAAGTACACAGAAGTCCTTGAAAGGGGCTGGGAAGTTGGCTCAGTGGTAGAGCACATGCCTTGCATGCCTGAGGCCCTGGGTTCGATTCCTCAGCACCACATAAGCAAAAAGAAAAACGCCAGAAGTGGCGCTGTGGCTCAAGTAGTAGAGTGCTAGCCTTGAGCTGAAGAGCTGAGGGACAGCACTCAGGCCCAGAGTTCAGGCCCCACGACTGGACCCCACCCCCAAAAAAAAGAAGTCCTTGAAAAATTGGAAGACCTATATAAATATGATTGGTGTTACTAATATTATTGCTATTGTTGCTTGTGAATAATGATTATAGAGAAATAAACTCCAAGCCCAGACCATTATCAAATGTCTGCATGATAGAGCTAGTTGTTGAAAATCAACCATGAAGACTTCAACAAAATCTAAAATGAGTTCCCAGTTTTGTTTTGTTTTTTTCTGTCAGTCCCACAGCAGCTTTTTTTTGCTCAAGGCTAGCACTCTACCACTTTGAGTCACAACTCCACTTCCAGTTTTCTGGGAGTTAATTAGAGATAAAAGTCTCATGGACTTTTCTGCCTAGGCTGGCTTTAAACTGAGATCCTCAGATTTCAGTTTCCTGAGCAGCTAGGATTACAGGCATTCTTTCTGAATCCTCCCAAATAGTTACCAAAGGAAGAATGTAATAGATAAAAATAAATACCACTAATTAAGGAAAAAAGTATTATGGCCTAAAATATAAAGGCAAGTACCTAGCAGGAACAGTGGACCAGGACTGTAATTGTAATCATTGCTAATTGGCAAATAGAGATTAGGATATCATGGTTTTGCAAGATAACGAATGAACCAATGGCTGGGTATAGTGGCGCATATCTGTCATTCCAGCAACACAAGGATACACAAATACAACAAGAATACAGTAAAGGCTGACAATGGGAAGAAAGCAGGAGCTACCTTGGAAGTAATACAAAAAGGTGACTCTAGCTTGAAATCCTAGCTAATCTGAAGGCTAAGATCTAAAGATTCTAATTGAAGCTAAAACTGAACAAGAAAGCCAGTGAAACACTGATCCTATTAACCAGCAAAAAGTCAGACATGAGAAGCTGGGCACTGGTGATTCATGCCTGTAATCCTAGCTACTCAGGAGACTGGGATCTGAAGATCACAGTTTGAAGTCAGCCCAGGCAGAAAAGTGCATGAGGCCAGGCAGCGAAATCCATGAGATTCATAACTCCTGTTAATCATCAGAAAACTGGAAGCAGAACATCACTAGACTTGAGCAAACAAAATACTCAGGGTAGTGCCCAGTCCCTAAATTGAAGCCAAAAGAAAGAAAGAAAAGAAAGAAAGGAAGGAAGGAAGGAAGGAAGGAAGGAAGGAAGGAAGGAAGGAAGGAACGGGGGCACCAGTGGCTCACAACTGAAATCCTAGCTACTCAGGAGGCTGAGACCTGAAGATCAAGGTTCAAAGCCAGCCTGGGAAAGTCCGTGAAACTCTAATCTCCAATAGCCCACCAGAAAACCAGAAGTGGTGCTGTGGCTCAAGTGGTAGAGTGTTTGCCTTGTGTTGACGAGCTAAGGGACAGCACTCTGGCCCAGAGTTCAAGCACTATGACAAAAAGATAAATAAAAAATAATAATAAAAGTGGAGTTGTGGCCTTGAGGGAAAAAAAAAAGGACAGTGCCCAGGTCTTGAGTTCAGGCCTCAGTACCAGCCACCCCCACCCCCCATCCAAAAAGGGGTTTCATGGCAAAATGACTGAACAGGTAGAGCAACTGGGTTCAAATCCCAGTATCACCAAAAAAAAATTCCTGTTTTAAAAAAAGTTTGCAATATCCAACAGTAGCTCACCTCTATAATCCTAATCTCTTCCACTCAGGAGGAGGGTAGAGGGCTACCCTTGAACAAAAAGGCCCAGGGAGGGGCTGGTGGTAGAGTGCTTCCCTTGAATGCATGAGGCCCTGGGCTCGATTCCTCAGCACCATATAAGCAGAAAAAGCTGGAAGTGGCACTGTGGCTCAAGTGGTAGAGTGCTAGCCTTGAGCTGAAGAGCTGAGGGACAGCGCTCAGGCTGAGTTCAGGCCCCATGACCGACAAAAAAATAAGGCCCTGGGACAACACCCAGGCCAATAGCCACAGGAAGAAAGGAAAGGAGGGAAGGAGGGAGGGAGAGAGGGAAGGATTTGAACTACTCATAATTGCTCCATATTGAGTATATTTTTATTAATGCTAGATAATCTGCCTAAAGCTAATACAAAACATTTTCTTCTTAATTATATTTTAAGGCCCTACAAAGAAAAGGTACAAAATAAACATCAAACAAAACATTAATGAGTCAGACTACTTCCAAGAATGTGTCAAGTCTCATCTATAGTACTTACAACAATGAAATTGTTCAAAATGATAGTTTCATACCTTGCCTGCTGCAACTTTTGCCAAGAGAGAAGCAAGTGAGTAACCCTTGTTACTCTGGTGTTTTAAGGATGGAAGTCTTACTACAGGACGAATACCACCATTACAAATCTCATCTGTTCCTCTTTCATTCACGGCTTTGACATGAATTAAAAATGAACGATATTTTCCACCTGCCATACCTAAAGAAGTGATGTAGAATGGGATAATAATTCAATCACCAAAACCACAAGTTGTTTTTCATCTTCATAGAGTAAGCTAAATGCTAAAGAAAAATACACCAGCAAGCCAAGTGCTAGTGACTAGACTTGAGTACAAAAGCTCAGGGACAGCAGCCAAGTCGCTGAGTTCAAACCCCAGGACTGGCTTTTTTTATTTTTTGGTGTTTTCTTTTGTTTTTTATTTTGGGGGGGGGGTGTTGTTTTTGCCAGTCCTGGGGCTTAACCTCAGGGCCTGGGCACTGTTCCTGAGCTTCTTTTGCTCAAGGCTAGTACTCTACCACTTGAGCCACAGTGACACTTCCAGCTTTTTCAATACTGAGGAAGCGAACTCCGGGCATCCATCATGCATGCTAGGCAAGCACTCTAACACTAACCCATATTCCCAGCCTGGCTTTTGTTTCTAAGGTCCATCAATTTATACCATTTTCAAATTACACTGTTTGTGTATATGGTTTACAACTTAGCCCATTCCCCCAATAAAACCCTATAGCAATATGAATAACATAAAATAGACATTATTGGTCATTATAAATACTTGGCATGATTTTCTCCAATTACACTGTTCACTTAATGGCAGAAATTTTCTAAGCTCTAAGAAAAAAACATCTTTAAAAAGAATAAAACTGACTATCTACAGTGGCTCACAAATATAACCCCAGCTACCGGGAGATAGAAATTGAGAGTCAAGATTCCAGTCCAGTCACAAAAAGGTTAGTGCAAAGTCTTCAATCAATAAGGTAGGATTAGTGGCACACATCAGTCATCTCAACTATATGGAAGATCATAGGTGGAAGGATCATGACCTAAAATAAATCCTTGGCCAAAACAAAAACAAAAAAACTTGACTTAAAATGGTAACTCTTCTGTATACCACCTTAAAAAATAATAACAATCTAAAACAAAATGCCAGAAGTTTAAAGTATGGTTGAAGTGAGAGAGAGCTTATCTAGCAAGCAAAAACCCTTGAGATCAAACTCCAATAACATCAAAAAAAAAAAAAAATACAAAAAAGGAACCACCCACAAATAATTATGGTACCATTACATACAGCCATCCAGCATTCACTTGTATTAAATGTACAAGCATACATATGACATACACGCGTATACCTAGTATCATAGTTCTTACAAGTTAAAAATGAAAGGCATTGGGTAATCATATCTTAAAATATAAAAAGAGAGGACTGGGAAGGTGGCTCAGTGGTAGAGCGCTTGCGTTGCATGCCTGAGGCCCTGGGTTCGATTCCTCAGCACCACATAAGCAAAAAGAAAAAAAAAAGCCAGAAGTGGTGCTGTGGCTCAAGTGGTACAGTGCTAGCCTTGAGCTGAAGAGCTGAGGGATAGCACCCAGGCCCAGAGTTCAGGCCCCACAACCGGACCCCTCCCCCCCCCAAAAAAACTACATATATATAAAGAGAAAATGAAAAAGTAAAACCATCACTGTAAAAACAGGTCTGTAAAGAATATAAAATGAAATAGTACCTATGTTGAATTTAATGAAAATTCTTATAACGGCCTATCACAAATAGAATACTTAATGATATTAATAAACCTACTAGCAAACAACCAGTCTACAGTTACCCTAGCAGGCATTTAACTTTTTCATAATTAGCCAAATGTCTGTAGCTCACATCTGCAATTCTACTCAAGAGGGTAAGATGTAAGGATTGTGATTCAAAGCCAGCCCAGGCAGTAAAATCTATGAGACTCTTAACTCCAATTAACCACCAAAAGTAAAAATTTAAAAAAAAAAAAAAAAACCCTTAAGTGGAGGTTTGGCTCAAGTGGTAGAGTGCTAGCCTTGAGCAAAAAAGCCCAAAGAAAATAAGCCAAATAAATAGCCAGGCGCCAGTGGCTCACGCCTGTAATCAATCGTAGCTACTCAGGAGACTGAGATCTGAGGATCTCGGTTCAAAGCCAGCCCAGGCAGGAAAGTCTGTGAAACCCTTATAAACCACCAGAAAACCAGAAGTGGCGCTGTAGTTCAAGTGGTAGAGTGCTCGCCTTGAGCTGAAGAGCTGAAGGACAGCGCTCAGGCCCAGACTTCAAGTCCCACGACTGACAAAAAAAAGGAAAGAAAAAAAAAAAAAAAAGAAAGAAAATAAGCCAAAGAAAGTGAAACTGTAGATATAGAATATTATTGTATACCATGTCTGCATATTATGTGTACCTATGAAATTGTGGACAGCAACTTTACAAATCAAAATGGTCATTACTTAGGTGATAAACTATTTGAGGGGTTTGGGTAAGAATCTCTATTCCCCTATTCTACTTCAAAATGTCTTCAAAAACTGAGCTAAGCATTTTACAGGTCGGCTTTTGTTTTATTCACACGTGGAATTCAAAAGCTAACATAACAAATTTCTATTTATTATCTATGTAACAGTCAATAAATTTTTAAATATCCATTCATTAGAATTTGTGTTTATGATATATAAATCATTTTATCAGATATTGTCAAAGTATTAAATATGTGTTCTATAAAAGCCATCTTACAAGGAAAATTAAACAATAGGACAGTTAAAAATGACAGCACAATGTCAGATAATTTGGAAGAGCACTAGTAAGTCATCCTACAGTCTTTTTGTTCACAATACTGGAGTTAGAACTCAGAGTCTCTCATTTTCTAGAGTGTTGCTCTGATTACTTAAGTCACATCTGCCGCACACTCTTGTCATTTCTTTACCCTTAGTCAACAGTAACAGCCAGGCACTGGTGATCACCCCTGTAATCCTAGGTACCCAGAAGACTGAGATTTGAAGATCCTTGTTCAAAGTTAGCTCTGGCAGAAAATTTGAGACTCTTAACTCCAATTAACTACCAAAGCCAGAAGAAGAGCTGTGGGACTCAACTCATAGAGCGTTACCTGTGAGCAAAAAAAGCTCAAAACAGTGCTCAGGCCATACGTTCAAGCCCCCGGACTGGCAAAATAAGGAAGGGAAGGGAAAAGGAAAAGGAAAAGGGGAAAGGAGAAAGGGAAAGAAAAGGGGAAAGGGAAGGGGGAAAGAAAAGAGTCAGTGCCACTCCATGACAGAAAAAGTAGGACCAGAAATTTCACAATATAATTACTTATAGTAGAAAATAATTTCACACCAAAAACTAACTGGATTCTAATGAAAGCCCAAACAAAACAGTAGCTTACATTTGGATCACTTTATTTTACTATTATGGAATATATTACTTCACCTTTAACAAGTTTAGGGCTTGTTAATGTCAACATCCCAGCATGCCCAGATAGATCAAGGCCACTAGCAAGCCAGACAGGCCCACACAAGATGTCTTCTTTATGATCCTCTAAAAATGAACACAACCTAAGACCTAAAAAGAAAAATACAGATTTTTCTTTTAGTTATTTAGAATGCAATAACTGACTAGCAAATATCCATTCCATTTACATAGCATACCAACTGAGAAAATGTGATCACCTAAGAATTCATTGCCATGCTTAGGAAAGATAATCAATTATCTGGAGTGTTATATGTTGCTTTCCACTGTAATAGTGTTTTACATTTCACTTTGATTTTCCAAAATTTCTAAAACCATGACTTGATTTCAACTACCAAGGTATTAAAAAGCAAGAATATAAGTATTAGTGCAGCTGTGTTCACAAAGATGAGCTGAAAGTTAAAGCATATTGCCAACGCAGAATTATAAGTTATTTTTAAATCACATTCTTAAAACCAAGCTTTTGCAAGCCATAGAGAAATCTTTGCCCAACATGATACGTTTAGATCACTATTCCTTCTACTGTCATGGACAACAGCTCCATAATTTAACTCACACTGTGATTCCTCTACATCCATGTGCTGCATTTCTTCATTCAAATCAATCAGGGACGGTTTCCCATTTTGTTCCACTTCAGTGTTAAGAGCTGGAGACAAAGGAAAGGTGATCTGCCTATCTACTGCTGTTTCTAGAGGATAAAAATATTAGTAAACTTAATTTTGATTATGATGATTTTTGTGCCTAAAAATCTTTAACTTTGCTGTTAAATTGGAAGCTACTGTGATTTTTTTATCACAGATGATATAAAACAATTGTCAAAAGAGAAAAATAACTAGATTCAATTATTTTATAAATTGTCCTGTCTTCTAATGGTAATTAAACATTCAACCTGAATTATACAAATTGTTGGCAACTAAATTAAAAGTTCAAATTCTAGGCTGCACACTACTAAAAGTTCCTGCAGTTTAGGAAATACCACTGCCTACATCACAGATATAATTACATAAAGGTCTGTCATGACTAAAAGAAATATATATAGGGGGGTGGAGGTGGGGTAGTTGAGGAGGTAGGAGGGACAGGATGTTAGGGAGGGAAAAAAGGAGACAACAATGCTGGATAAGAAATGTACTCATAGCCGGGCGCTGGTGGCTCAAGCCTGTAATCCTAGCTACTCAGGAGGCTGAGATCTGAGGATCGTGGTTCAAAGCCAGCCAGGGCAGGAGAGACCATGAAACTCCTATCTCCAATAAACCACTAGA